TTATTATTTTTACACAGTTAAAAGTAATAATCCTTTTCCGTTGTCTATAATATTGGCATAGGAAAACAACAATCCATTGAGATTGATGTTACAAGACAAAAGTAGTCACATGTGCGATCAAGAGAGACCTATGCTGCAGATTTTATAGTGTGAGCTATTCTCTGCTAAATGAAGTAACTAGACCTTAAAAACCTTAAAAAGTAGAAGGGGTATGCAGAATTGAGGAATTCAAATATTATCCTGAAGTCTTTAAAATAACTTCATTTGAGAATTGACCGGACCAGTTATGGAATCATGTGAACAAGCTTAACGTGAAAAAGGTTATGTGAAATGAGTGTTTGGGAAGAATTTCTCAATGTCCTTCCTTTCATTCAAATTTTTTCTGTTTGGTGAAACTGCACTTGTGCGCCTTCTCTTTCAGCCTTTTCAAATGTGGGTATCAGGAAATCTCAGACATCTCTCTTAAGAACCGAAAAACTATATTTGCACCTCTTCTTGTTACCTCTGAATAGTGGCAATCTTTGGAGCTGCCCCGATCTGAGCTTGCCAAGCACCTCTCGTACAAATCATCTAAAAAATTATTTTTCAAGTATGTGACTCTCTATGTTACACCCCTTACCACATTGATTTAATTTTTGTGCTTGTACTTTTTCATTAATGATCGTTAAAAAATTTCTCAGAAAGCAAGTCTGTATTCTACATTTCTTCATATAGTGAAAACTAATTGAACCATTATGCAATCACCTTTTTAAAATTAAGCACTCTCTAACCATGCTCCAGACGACTCAGTCGTGTTGCCTACGACCTAGACATTAAGACAATGTTCCTGTGACGTCACATTGGTAATTGAAATTTCGCCGTCGATAACATGTTTTTTTAAAGGAGAAGGCCTGATGCTTCTTCCTTTCATTCTGATATCTAGTCTGGTGTTCATTTGATGCAAAATTTCACATGGACCTTTTTGAAAGGTGTGAAATTTGTCTCTAGTAAGTTAATTAATTCATATATCAATGTGTTCGATAATGGAGCGAGGAAAGGAAAGCTTAATATTGAAAATTGATACTTCACTCAGATTCAAACGTACTTCTTATATGCTTTTAATTCGTGAACATAGCCAGAGGTGATGTTCATCAAAGGACTATATAACCAAACTTCACAACTTTCGTGTTATGTCGGAGGAAATTATTTCCCTTCCTGGTTTTTTTTGTGAAATTTCGAACTAGAAATAAACCGTAGGTAGGTATGACCTGTCTCCTATAGGCACTTATATTTCACCTTCACAAAGGAAACAAACAGGAAGGTATGAGCTGGGTACACCTGTAATAGCTGAAACCTGGATGAGCGATAATAATGCATACCTGAAAATATGGACTCCAAGCTGCGAGAACCAGTTTATGAGCTTTAAGCAAGTGTCCATCAACTGCTAATGTGACATCTACCATTGCATTGTTCTTTCGAAGTTTATTAATAGCTGATATCATATTTGAATGGTGGTCTTCCAACTGTACGCAAAACCTCTGAGAGGTGTGGTGAGATGTCATTTGTGCTACGCTCGTTTGATTGTCTTGAAGCTAACAAATGTTTGAACAATTCCTTGAAGCATATGCCTTTATAGTATCATATCTGAAACAAATACAGCATACATAAAACATAAATTAAAATGAAGGTGAAATAAAATATCACAATTGCATCATCACAATGAAAGAAATTTATATTTCAGACGTAGGATATTAATTAATGGTTCTGAATTTGGTTTACGTTTGCAAGTATTTTTCCAAAATTGTTTATCCGATAGAGAGTAAACCCTGCTAAAACTGATAAAAATTGAGATTTCAAGATCTGATTACATCACATGTAAATTTGTGAAGTTACATCATTACCCTTGTCACGTGCAAAGCAGCTGAAGAGCTATTTTGTAGATGATCAGTAGAAACTGTATTAATAACCTCCATTTGAATCTTCTGTAAGGTAATATTGTGATTTATCAATTAGAAGTTTTAAATAATTGAGGCTTAGCCGAAATTGAAACGGCGATATCATAGTTTTGTGTTTACCTTCAGTTCAATCTCTGTTCTTTATTACCATTAACATTTTGATATATAACACAAAAGTTTATCTCATCTGTATTAGTCTATTAGTTTCGATATTCTCTGTGTCATCATGTAATTGCATGCATCAAAAATACAAGATTCGAAACTCATTGAAAAACAACTTTACCTGCGAAAGTGGAGAATCATTTCTGAAGGGATTGTTTAACCTTTATTTATGGAATTAATAAGGATATTAGGAAATCCCCAATGCAGTGAAAGCTTTTCTTCTGTTCATTACAAATCGATGGTGAAAGTGCAGACGTGCGTATCTCGGAAAACACGATTTTTCAGGAGAGTAAAAAAAACTGTCTACATTCCTCCTTATTGTCAGTAGAAAGGTAATAATTCTTGAAAGCAAGAATAAGATGCTCTTTCAGACTTCATCAATATTTTGAATAATTTCTCGCGCTGTTAGAAAATACGGCCGAAGTGCCGAGATTCGCGTTTTCGGCACTAAGAATTGACACTTTATCACGAGATACGCATTTCTACAATTAGTGTTTTAAACCTATTGTTGGCGGATTTTGATAATTTAAAAACTGAAAAAAGGGTTTCATGCTTACAATTCATTATCAGAAGCTTTAGTTTGACCTCATACGGCCGGATCAAGCATTGTATGATTGGAAACTGACATTAGATTACGAGATACGCATTTATGCAATTAGCGTTTTGAAACTACTCTAGATCACTAAGATCAAAAATAGAATTTATTCAACCTTAAAACTTATTTAGAAGCTTTAGTCAATCCAATACACTAAATGAAGCATTGATTGACTGGATTGACTCTTATAAAACTGTCCGTTGTGATGAGCCGTCAGTTCAATTAGTTCATGATTGCATTGGCCTGGAGAGTAAAAATGGACATGAACGCCGCGCGCTGCTAGTAGTTAGTAGATACCTATGAAGGAATGATACCCCTGGTAAAAATGATCACCTAAAATATAGGTGACATCGCCAAAAAAATAGGTGACATCGCCTGAAAGGTAGGTGGCATCGCCTAGAAGGTAGGTGACATCACCTAGAAGGTAGGTGACATCGCCTGGAAGGTAGGTGACATCACCTGGAACCAAGGTGACATCACACAGGTCGCATTTGAGTTTCAGGATTAAGTAAGGAAAAATTAAATATTAACAAGCTAATTATTGGATACTTTCATGGGTAGATAATAGAACATTTGCTTTGTGCTAAACATTTTTATATCTACAGTGGAAACAACTATAAGAATAAATATATGTAAAAAAAGGAAATTTATAACATAAAGTAAAATAAAAACAAGAATGAAGTAAACATAAAATAGATTAAAGGCATGTAATGTCGTAAAAAAAATATACGATAGAAGCGGACGTTAGAAAATGAAAAAAGTGAAAAAACAAAATAAAGTGTCAAATAAAATGCAGTCTTAAATGAAACATAGTAAATAAAATATAATAAAATAAAATAAAATGGAGAAAAAAAGTAAAATAACACAGCGTGAAAAAATAAAAAATTAAAAAATAAAGTAAAATAAGAAAATAAAATATAGTAAAAAAAATAAATAGGAAATATAATAAAATAGAGTGAAATAATAAAGTAGAGTAAAATGAATTAAAAAGAATATAAAATGAAATAAAGGTAAAAATTAAAAAAAAAGGTAAGAAATAATATGAAGTAAAGCAATAAACTGAAATGAATTAAAGTAAAAAACGAACAAATCAATAAAAACTGGTCGAGATATCCTGGCTGTACAGTGCACGTTTAATTCGAAGCTAAATGCAGGTTTTTCGTCACTGTTTTCAGGCGGCCGGCATAGCTTAGTAGGTAAGGTCCTCCTTCAGTGTTCAGGAGGTCCCAGGTACGGAGCAGGCAAAAAATTCCAGATCAAAATTCCAACGAAAGTGCCTAACAGTATAACGTAGGAGCCATTTTTCAAAGTTTTTGAAATAACCCCCGTACATAACCCATTTGGGGGGGGGGGGGCTTTTTTCACGGCCCGACAATGCTAGGTGACATCGCCTACACGTAGTTTTTGGTGACATCACCTATAATTTTAGATGACATCGCCTGTTCAAAAAATTGCCTCACCTAAGTTGGTGAGGCGATGTCACCTATATTTTTAGGTGATCAGTTTTACCAGGGACTGGAGGGCCCTCGAGTGATAATCCGCCTTCAATTACAAGCGTATGCAACATTAATGACAAGTAACAGTACCTAATCCCCCCCCCTTCCCTCGCCTATCGGCCTATCACCAGCATTCACTGATATCCCTTGTAAAGGTCAATTTTAATCGTCTTTTAGATTCTCGCCTCATGTAGTTCACACTCTCTGCATCCTGCACCTCAACCGAGCGACAAATATAACTTTAATAATTAGTGAAGTTGTTGATGAAAGGACTCATTTAACATTCATATCTCACGACAGTCCATCCAGCCTGTGAGACGCAATGTAATCGGTCGGACAAGTCTTACTTCTGGAGGTTGATAGGCAGACAAAGCCATCTAATCAGAAAAACTTCGCTATCGCAATAAATATTCGTAGGCATGCTCTGGATATACCTGTTCTAATGAGGGTTGCTGAATCCAAAATGGCTCTACATTACCTTAATTTTATGCTCCATTTAAAAACAAGAATGAAGTAAACATAAAATAGATTAAAGGCATGTAATGTCGTAAAAAAATTAATTGTCTTATTATTGTCTTTTTTTAATTTTTTACTCTTCCATTTTATGCTTTTATGCTCGTTAAAATGTTGAATTTTCCCTGGAAACGCCACATTTTTTTTGTAGAAATTCTGATTTTTTCGAGCTGATCAGGGCAAATGGAGGTCATTTTTTGGATGAGTCTTAAAAGTCCACCGGAAAACGATACTTACCTGCATGCTTCATATCAACGCAAAGTTTTCTTGTTGACCAGTGATATCTATAGAGATAAGACGATTAATAATCATTCTTTCCAATTCGTCTTTTAGATCATGTGGTACGATTTGCCGATGGGATTTGGGAAGACTCTGGCCCCAATGCATGTCAAGTATTTTCCAACGTGGTTTCAATGGCCTAATGATCCCAACAAATTATACACATTCTTAATGACAGGTAAACTTACAATTGAAAAATGATTCACTTTTGCATGGTGGGTAAGATGCAGGCGGAATACAATACATTCCACTCAAAGAAAATTCACATCTCGACCTTACCAGGCATATTATATGTGCACGAGATGAGGCTGAGATTCAAATGTTCGTAAAATATTACGCGGTACAAACATTAGACATTCTTGTATTTTATGCAAGCGAATACAAAGATTCTAGCTAAAGTAAATTTTCATTTTATTTTTATTATCATTTCGTGCAAAGATGTTGGAAAACTTTGTAATGGGGGGATGAAATAATGTAACTCACGTAACTCAAATGGTAGAGTGGACAGTAAGTAAGTAAGTAAGTAAATAATGCCGGGCTGGCCGGCGAGGCGCCCTCAAGGGGCCAAGGCAACTGGCAACTGCCGTCGT